CCCTTTCCTCTCTCTGAAAAAAAAAAAAAAATATTTAAAAAAAAAAAAAAAAAAAAGGGAATCACGATTGCATGTTACCGTGGATACTTAACTCCTGCTGAGTGAAAGAAGAGGGTGACATGAACACGCACACATGCCTACACCACAAGCCACCCCAACCCCCAGGGAGGCAGGCAAAAATTGCAAGCAAATCCCTCCATGACTATCATAACCAAGTCAAGGTGCTGGCAGCTGAGAGGCTCCCGTCCAGCAGCCAGGGGGTAGTGATACAGATGATACCTGCCTAGTGTCTAGCACTGGTTCAACAGGGGATAAAAGACAAAACTCCCTTTGCCCTCTCCATGCCTGCAACTGAGCTTTTGGAGAGGCCAAAGAATTCAAATACCACCTCTCCCCAAGTATCCCTTATTGGAGAAAACTTTAAGCCAAGCATCTGAAGTGCCTGGAACATGGAAGATAAGCCCACAATTACAGGTTGCTCGAAAGACTGCTTCAACAGGTCAGAGGGTGACTGCTAAAGGGTACGTGGGGTTCTTTTGACATGATTAAACCGTTGTAAAACTGTGGTGGTGACTGCACATAGCTGCGAACATAAGCCACTGAACTATACACCTTACGTGGGTTAATTGTATGGTATGTGAATTATATCTCAGTAGGCTGTTTGTTTGTTACATTTTTCAAAGATTGCTTTACCAGATTTTTAGCTTGTTCTAAGGTGGTGCCATGATTGTAAGGTTTTCATTCCTTGCTAACACTCAGACTACAATATATATACTAAAGTGGTACTTTGCAGAGAAAAAAAGAATATGAAATCATTGGTAACAATTTTGCCAATATAGCAAAATTTTCTTCAGCTGTGATATCCTTCTGTCCCAGAGGCGGAAAGTCAAAGGAAGAGACCTGAAGACAGGATACCTGTTCTCTTCCTCCAGCTCATCCTTCCTGTTCATCATGGCCACGATGGCTTGTCGCAGTTCACCTAGGGGAAGAAAGGAAGTCAAAATTAATCAGGGAATCTCGCCTGTCACGCCATCCTCTCACCAACTGGAGTATGTGCTATTTAGAATGATTTGTCTAGACAAGTTCCCTTTCCCTTTCAAATATTATTTCTATACAACCTAAGTTATCCAATGGGCTCAGCTGATCACTCTTACTAGCCACACAAAACGGCAGGGCAGGGCAGGATGGAATAAATGTGAAGGTGTTTCCTTGGTGAATACACTCAGCAGCACTGGAAAAAACAGGCTTGTGGTTTCTAAGTGCTTTTCCAAGTCCCTGCTACTGGACCACATCTGGTTTGAACAATGATATATATTCCCATTTACAACTGTCTATCAACAGCAAATCAGACAGCAAATCGAGTGACATTTGGGTCCACACTGAAATAGGAATACTCAAGTTTACTAAGCTAGCCCGGCCGGGCGTGGCTCAGCAGTTGAGCGTTCACCTAGGATCCAGGTGATCGGGGTTCGATTCCCGGTCAGGGCACATGTCCAGGTTGCAGGCTAGATCCCCAGTGAGGGGCCTGCAGGAGACAGCCGATCAATGACTCTCTCATCATTGATGTTTCTATCTCTCTCCCTCTCCTTTCCTCTCTCTGAAATCAATAAAGATATATTTAAAAATAAAGTTTACTAAGATATCTGGTTTTCCTACACCAACTTCTATAGTCAGTATACGGACAACACTATGGGGGAGGGAAGGAAGGGCTTCCAATACACAGTCCATAATTTCCTATAGGAGCTACTCTTCTAAATATCTTTTCTAAAAGGAAGTATTCGCCCATAGGAAACCATGCCTTTATATTAAATAACCACCCAAGTTTCCTATCTACATCAAACAACTGTTGTCACTGTCCATCCACGTATTCAAGACACTCTTTACCATGTCATTCAGATCTCAAGACCAGGAACTTCAAATTTCTCCTGGAGATCCAGTTTTATTTTGGGAGTTTTCCCCCTAACAAACCCAAAAAACTGTATTTCCCTCTTGGGTCTGGCTACTAGGAAGCTCACAGCCAAAAGTATGCCTCTAGTGAGTGTACGTGGCCACGTCCCAACCATGATGTGCCTTAACCTCCCTCTGATCTTCTCCTCCAGCCTGTATTTCTGCCTGTGCCAATTTACCTACCACTGGCCTCACTTTACTTTTTATCTGTTTTAATAGCTGCTTCGAATCCTCTTTCAGAAAAAGGTATGGTTGTTGGTTTCTTCCTTTAGCTAAAACTTGAACCCTAATACTTGCAAGCTCTTTTCAAAGCCCTTACTGGCACTATCTCATTTAATCCTTTATGCACACCTGAAAAACGCATGTCACTGTCCCATTCTACTGGGGTATAAATAAAACACAAGAAGGAGTAAATGGGAGGAAAAATACATAGATAAATGGGTGGGTCTCCATTCCCTTATTCTCGGATGCCCAGGGAGAAAGCAGCCCGCCAAAGACCCTGAGGAAGAAATGGGGCCATGGGACCAATGCAGTCCTCAGATGGCAACACAGGAAATAAAAGCCCACAGCCCAAGTTTCACTTGAAACAAAGGCAAGGAATGAATTATGGGATCTCCTCTCGAGCCTCTATGTCAGACTGCAGGGCAGGAAACTAGGTTGGGACAAGTTGCCTATACAGTCCCAAGTAGCCTTCTAATCCCTAAGGCTTAAAATTGTGGAAATTGTCCTGGGCAGGACCAAAAGCTGGAGAGAAATAAAAAGCTTTTGTGGGGAGCTTCAAGGGGCAAGAATGTGGGGGGTGGGGTATAGTAGCTTCTATTGCAGTGACAGAGGCAGGATCCATGAAGAGCGGCTATTACAGGCTCCTGGCTGGACGGATCCGAGTTCAAACTCAGCTCAGCTAGTTCCTGCCTGGTTATCTGGAGCAGGCTTCCCCTTTGCAGAATACCAAATGGGGAAAACGCCATATTCCCTGCAGGATGGCTGGAAGAGTAAATTAAACTTCCCGGCCTGGAGTATGCACTGCACTGAATGCAGGGAGGTGGCTCAGGGTCCTGGATTTTAGAGCACACTCTCTACAGTCAGGACCCAGGTTCAAATCCTGAGTCTTCAGCTGGACAACTTGGGCAAGCTACCTTCCCTCTTTGAGCACCAACACCCATATCTATAAAATGGGCTCTTAACAGTCACTGTCTCATACAAGTGTTGCAAGGATTCAATAAAGTAATGTGTAAGTAAGGTGCTTAAACAATGCCCAAGCACATAGGAAGCGTTCAGCAAGTGTTACTGATCACTATAAAGAGTGCCTTTCCCTTCAACAGAGGGTGAAGGAAAGGCAGGGACGAGGTAGCAGTGACCGCCAGATGTGCACTGGTTCAACTGAACCCATTTTCAGGAGTGAGGCGATTTACTGAGCTCCTGTGTACCTTGACCTTGAGAAATAAAAAGGAATTTTTTAAAAGTGCTCTGTCCCCTAAGTCAGCAGACTAGATAACAGGATTTTCTGCAGATTCACACAAGACCATCATGGCTAACGTGGGAAATCAGACTGAGAAAGAGGTGCCACCTGGAGAAGACAGAGCAAGTGTCTAGGTTCTGGGCTTTTAGGCACAACATGAGGGGATCCCAAATACTGCCTCTCTGACTTTGCAGCTGAAAACTGTATATTCCATGGGGAAAGAAAACGTGGAGGAAGCACTGTTTCCCAGGAAGTCCCAGAAAACTTAAGAATGTTCTGGCAAAGAACAGCCACAGTCGCTGTAAGGAGAGATCTCGGCCACAGGTTCGCCATGAAGGGGGCACGAGTCACACTGCAGAGAAGCCACAGAAACAGTGGTGACCGGCGCTGACCCCAACCACACCATCATGCTGGTGGAGCCCTTCCCTTCCACACTGCGCACTTCCAGCCCCGGGGACCACGCCCCTGTATTTGCATTGACACCAAAATGACTGAGGACACAAATAAAGCAGTATTTTGATGATACTGAGAATCTTAGGGGGGAAAAGCCATCGCAGAAATAAGGCTGTCAGGCTGTCCCTTCTGCCTTCCCCATGCCGCCATCACAGAGCATTTGTGACAATGGTGGAAAAGGAAATGGTCCAAGAGCTGGTATCCCATCCCCCACCACCAAAAAAAAAACCAACAAAACACAACCACTGTTTCAACAGGCTTTACCTTTTTATACATTCAACTTTGCAGACTCTTCTTGGGCAGTAGAGTCGGTAGGTGATGTTTGGGTTGATTTCCATATATCACATAAATATTATATTTCTCCCAAGCCAGTGACACTCACTGGCAGTGGTGCTGCCTAACTTGCAATTTCTCTCCTGTCCCCAGCACCGCACATCCCACTATCTGTTTAGCCTATCACTGTGATTTCTCCCTTTTCATTACCTGCCAGCACACACTGCAAGTGACACCAGAGCAGGGCTGCTGCCCGGCAGCCTCCACAGAGTCTGGCTGGGCTGGGTCTCCCTCTCCTCGGGCTGAAGGGCAAAGACCACCCATCACAAAATTGGTGCTTCAAGAGAAGCAAACAGCCAATCTGGTCAAGTCCACAGGAGAACGTTAACTTCAACCGTAAGCAGTCAATATGGGATAAAGAACAGCATTTCGAATCACTGCAGGAAAGGTGGATTCATCCATAAATGTTGCCAGGGCAAAAAACCATTTGGGGAATGAGAAACAAGACTTAAATCTCTGCTTCTACTATGTATCAAAATAAATTTCCAACAGAATAATTTAAATATGTGAAATGTAGCAATAAAAGCTCTATGAGTATGTGAACAAACACTGATGCCATCTTGGGGCAGCAGAGGCCCTACTTAACATGAGCAAAGAACAAGTCCATTAAGGAAATAGTTTTTTCTTTTTTTTTTCTTTTTTTTTAACTTCTGCACATCAAGGGCCAATCTAACAAATCTAACATCAGGGCAGCAAACAGGCAGCGCAGAAAGAACACAGGTTTTCTAATCAAATCCCAGATCCCTCACGTCTCACCTCTACGACCCTGGGCAAATAACCATGTCTTTGCTTCTTGATTCTCTCAGCTGAAAAAATGGTGCTAATATTGCCAACCTCACAGGACAGGGCAGAGGTCGGCAACAGTTTTACTGGGACACAGCCATGCTCATTTGTTTTATACTGTCTATGGCTGCTCTCATGCTACAATGGCAGAGCTGAGCTGAGCTGTGGTGACAGAGAGTGAGGGGCCTGCACAACCTAAAATATTTCCCATCTGGCCCTTTACAGGAAAGGTTTACCTACACCTGTCTTAGGAGAATACCCAGAAGCTCTTACCTCCTCCCCCCACTGCCGGCCCTCTCAAGTTCAGGTCTAGAGGTGGCTCTCTGTGGTGAGGCATGGAGCCTGCCAGACACTCGGGCCATTGGCGGGGCGACCAAGAGACTGTAGACCAGGCTTTAATAGATGGGGAACGACAGTTGAGCAGCTGCTGCCCTAGACACCGTGTCTCCCTCCCCACATCTTCAAAGACCCCCTCAGCCTTGCCTCTGCTCGCTCCGGCTGGCCCTGCTCAGCCTTCCTGCCTGGATCTTCTTCCTCCTGAGGAAGCTGCACCCAGGGCTCAACCACTGCCTCCACCCTGCAGATGCCCGAAGCTCCAGCCCATGTGCGCCACAGCCCCTCCACTGGCTCAGGCCTCCACCTGTCTCCTTTGCTCCTCCTGCTTCCTCTCCCACCACATCAAATCTACTCCCCTTCTCATGTGCCTCTGTGGCTTTGCACAGGCTGTTCCCAGCACCTGGAAGACCTGGCTGCCTCCCCTACTTAGAGCCTCCTTCAAGTTTCAGCTCAGATCACCTCTTCTGTGACACCTTTGCCCACTGGCCATGGCAGGTGTGTGAGCCACCAGGCCTGTCCCATCTTATTCATGGCCCTCCTCTCTCCCCAGAGGCCTCCAATTCCCACCCACCCCCAGCTGCAGTGAATGGGACCTAGAGGAGCCAAATGAGTCAAACTAAGCCAATCATACAGGGCCTTCCAGAAGTTTGGGATGGGCCAGGTCTATG